AAGATGTGCTGCTTCCTAAGGCCCCCAGCAACTTTCCGTGTTTTGCATGGATGTGTAGAATGCCACACGTAGGATGAGATGGCTACCAGGGCTCAGATCTAGGTAATAGTCGTGCTTCCAGAGCAAGTGCCATTTAAGTCCTTTATTTTGGGCAGTAGTGGGCCATAGGCCCAGGTGGGGTTTCTTAAATTTGCAAATCTGGCTACCTGCCATTCTCTGGAATGCATGCAAGTTGTCCTTCCCTGCTGTACCCCTACAAGTATACTTTGCAGAAGTCCCTTCCTTCTCCTGGCAAAGAAGCACCCTGCTTTCTGGAGCAAGGTTCAAAATATCTTCCAAAGAGAGGACTCATATAACACAGGGAAGACCAATACCATAGGTGAGGGGTTTCTGACCAGGCCAATGGTTGAAGGTAATAAGTTCTGTTCGGGGAAGAATGTTCTGAGCTACCCTTGAGTTTTGAGGAGTGTGGACCAGATACCTAATGTATATGTAGAACTTTTTCTCATAGTGTCAAAATATGAAAACATCTAAGTCACAGGAAGTCAAGTTATTACTGGCATATTCTGAAACAGCAAGCAGCCATTCTTAAGCATTCTGTTGGTCGCAGGTTCCTTTGAGATACTCCACCCAGAGGGAAAATATGTCCAGACACACAATTTTGCAAATAATCTTAGGAAGCTCATAGGTCACCCCATCCCACATATGGAGAAGTAACCCTGCTCTACATGATGGCCTTGGAAAATAACCTGAATGCTTTAGTGTAACTCATATTACAGATTTTTTTCCTCTCTGGAACAAAATATAAGCTCTATTGTAACCTTGCTCTGCCACAAAGACTGCAGTGAGAGCCTGCTCAGCAGATAATTTTTAGTTCAGAGTCTCCGTGAAATGATTCCAAATGTAAAACTACTCTCAGATGCTATAGTTAGTCATTTACTTTTTCATTATCCTAATGTCTTTTGGTTGTGAAAAATAAAACAGTCATGTTAACACAAACCTACACACTGAAGAATAGACAGAGATAGATAGAAGTGCTTGGGAAGAAGCGGTATATGGTAATGGATTATAAAGCATGCTCCAGAGATATAAGACATTTTTATTTAGTCCTTTTCTCATTTGACAGGTAAAACGTTTGCAGTTTTGGAGAATTTTGATAGAATAAAGCTATGCTGTTTTAGTTAAAAATGGAAATGAAAACACACTTTTTCTATATGGAAGCAGTAATCATTTGGTTTACTTTTTATTTGTTTTCAAGTTTAGAAGGGTTGGGTGTGCTCTGTGGAAACTTTTTGAGGAGATACTATGTTCTGGGCAGTGTGCTGGGATCTTTGCCT